CCCTGGCCCCTCAGATCCGAGCGGTAGGTTATCTACGTTGGTCTTCAAGGAAGGACAAGGAACTTCTTGACTTTACAGGGAGCATGAGAACCTTCCTTCGGGCTCATAAATAAGTAAAAGATTCCAGGCACAGGGTGATCATGTAGGAATGCCTGGCAAAAAAAGACAAAAAAATATTGCTCTCCCCTCGTCATGGAGAATCGACGCATGAACTTAAGCTGTTCTCTCATCTGCTCGGTCCTCCCCCGGGTCTGCTGCTGGTTCTTCGCGGCGTTGGCTACTATGCGAAAACAAGTCCGTGGAAGAGCAGTTCGGCCTGCCATGCAGGTCCCACTTCCGCAGGGGAGCGGCTCACCGCCGGCCGGCTTTCTCGGGTGGCAGCACGGCTTCCCTTAGATTTTCTTTTTTTGATGTTCACGGTGCAAGCTGTCTCTGAGAGACAGAGAGAAAGGTCTTCCTTTAACGTTGGTTCATCCTCCAATGGGCGGCGTGGGCAGCTCGCTGCGGGTCAGGCACCGCGCTGATCCGATGGCAGGAGCCAGGAGCCAGGTGCTTTTCCTGGTCTCCCATGGGGTGCAGGGCCCAAGCACCTGGGCCATCCTCCACTGCACTCCCGGGCCACAGCAGAGAGCTGGCCTGGAAGAGGGGCAACCGGGACAGAATCCGGCGCCCCAACCGGGACTAGAACCTGGTGTGCCGGCGCCGCTAGGCGGAGGATTAGCCTAGTGAGCTGCGGCGCCGGCCACCCTTAAATATTAAGACATTCTTTTAGTTTCTACTATTTATTGATAATATGGAACTGAAGTAGCAACTACATAATATGCTACTTTAAAATTTATGTACTTTGAAATCAAGAAATAGTACTTTAAGTATGCTTAAGTTTAATAATATTTAGAGACTTCTCCATTTTTGGTAAGCTGAAAATTTATCAACTTCTGTTAATTATTCATTTTTAAATATAGGACAGTTAAGATGCCAGCTAAGATATCCACATTCCCAGATTCCCATATTGGAGTATCTTGGTTCGCTCTACAGTTCTGGCTCTTGTCTAGCTTCCTGCTGATGCAGACCCTGGTAGGTAGTGGCTATGGACCAAATAATCCTGTGCTTGCCACACAGATGGGAGACCTGGATTGTGTTTCCGGTTCCCAACTCCTGACTTTTGGCCTGGCCCACCTCTAACCATTGAGGTATTTGAGGAATGAACCGATACTTGTTGGTGCTGTCTCTATCTCTCTGTGTGTGTCTCTCTCTACCCTCCCCTGCACCCACCTCCCCAATAAAAGAAATGTAAGTAGTCTGGATTTCTATTTTCCTTAAATTTTCTATACAGATGAGAAAGCAATGAAATTCATTCAGCTTGAACGATTATATCATGAGCAATTGCTTGCAAATCTTTCTGCCATTCAAGAACAGTGGGGTGAGTAGATACTAACATAGAATGTAGAAATAGCAGTAACCTAAGAAATTGCTATCTAGAGTTAACATATTTTATGAAATCAGGAAACAGATGTTTTTCAACAATAAAGTTAATGTTTCAGAAAACGTAGTATTTTTTTATGTGTCTTCCATTGTGAGAAAATTTTTTTCTTTGTGTTTTGCTTTTCATGGCACTGCCAAGAAAAGAACACTTGCGTTGTTTGCATTCTTCTGATCACATTGCATGCCCTACAGGCTAATTTAATCTCTAGAATGACATTTACTTATGATGAAAAGTGATCCCTTGATTCTAATTGTGTTCATTTTTTGAGTTTAGGGGGATAACTTTATATGCTAATCATTATCAGTGGTGTCATTTAACTATTTTTCTGTGCTAAATATGCTTTGTAAAAGCCAATGACTAACAAATAACTTTCAATTTAGAAACAAAATGGAAAACTGTACAGCCACATACAGTTACATCTCTAAGGAATTCAGAAAAGGGATTTAATGGTGAAGATTTTGAACGGCTTACTAAATTTTGCACAACACATCAAGAGTAAGTATATCAGACTTTCGTTAGAATAAGTTGGAGTAAAATATTGAAACATAATGGCATTGAGTATTTGAAATACAAAATCTGTTAATGTTTTCAACTGGATAAATTTTAATAGGTGTAATAAAATTATTATTTTCTCAGGTTTCTTTATTACATTAAACTCAGTAAATGATTGACTTTTTTTTTTTTTACTTTTTTTTAGACAGGCAGAGTGGACAGTGAGAGAGAGACAGAGAGAGAAAGGTCTTCCTTTTGCCGTTGGTTCACCCTCCAATGGCCGCCGCTGCAGCCGGCGCACCGCGCTGATCCTGGCAGGAGCCAGGAGCCAGGTGCTTTTTCCTGGTCTCCCATGGGGTGCAGGGCCCAAGCACCTGGGCCATCCTCCACTGCACTCCCTGGCCATAGCAGAGAGCTGGCCTGGAAGAGGGGCAACCGGGACAGAATCCGGTGCCCCAACCGGGACTAGAACGCGGTGTGCCGGCGCCGCAAGGTGGAGGATTAGCCTATTGAGCCACGGCGCCGGCTTAATGATTGACTTTTTTAAGACTTATTTATTTGAAAGGCAGAGTTACATAAAGGCAGAGAGAGAGAAAGAAAAATCTTTTTTTTAAATTTTTTAAAAGATTTTATTTATTTGAGAGGAAGAGTTACAGACAGTCAGAGGGAGAAGCAGAGAGAAAGGTCTTCCGTCTGTTAGTTCACTCCCCAAATGGCTGCAATGGCCACAGCTGCATGATCTGAAGCAGGGGCCAGGTGCCTCCTCCCGGTCTCCCACGCGGGTGCAGGGGCCCAAGGACTTTGGCCATCTTCTACTGCTTTCCCAGGCCACAGCAGAGAGCTGGATTGGAAAAGGAGCAGCCAGGATTATAACTGGCACCCATATGGGATGCCAGCGCCGCAGGTGGAGGATTAACCTAGTGTGCCACGACGCTGGCCCCGAAAAATCTTTCAACCACTGGTTCACTCCCCAAATGGCCATAATGGTCCGAGCTGGATCAATCTGAAGCCAAGAGCCAGGAGCTTCTTCTGGGTCTCCCAGGTGGGTCCATAGGCCTAACCACTTGGGCCATCCTCCACTGCTTTCCCAGGCCACAGCAGAGAGCTAGATCAGAAATGGAGCAGCCAAGACTTGAACTGATGCCCATATGGGATGCTGGCGTTGCAGGCGGCAGCCTTACCTGCTATGCCACAGTACCGGTCCCAAAGATTGACTTTTTCAGAGATTCAGAGGATCCTTCTAATTAGAAAATTTTAAAAGATAACATAATTTTGATCTCCTTTAGGTTAAGAGAACAGCTAATTCAGATGGACAAAATTGTGTATACAGATTTTATTTATTCTAGTTACTTGCTACTGTTTATATATTGTAGTCAAAAACATAGTAAGAGTAGTTTAATGCTGGAAAACAAATATACTACACTAGTTCATCAAAATGCTGCAGAATGAAAGCTAGATACACCAGGTAATCTTCAAATTTCTTGACTTATGTAAAGGAATTTGATGTTTTTAGGCTAAATTATAGTAGTAATAAAGTGTTTTAAGTGTTAAAAATTTGATTGTTTTAAGACCTAGAACTCTGAAAGCAAGGAGGCATGAAAATGTTTAAAGTAGTGGAAATTTCTGAGATTTTGAACATAAGTCCTCAAAACACAGGCTAAAAGATTTTGCATTTTACTGATAACTTTTTTTCTATCAGACTCATGGAAAGAGTGCCAGTAGTTGTTGCTTAGCTCATACAGCAGATAGAAAACTTGCTTTTAGATCTGCCATTTTGGGAAACCAGTCTTTGAACAGTGATTTTATGTTCAGAGGTGGATGCTTGTTTGACTCTCATGATGATAATTTTCTTTTATTAGTCACTCTGTACCTTTGAAATAGTATTTTCAGAAAGTCTCATTGTTAACCGTATTTCTTAGCATGTTCAGTGGTTAACTTTGAATTTTGTAGCATTTTAAAATAATGGAATTATTTAAAGTAGAGATTATTTTCTTACTTTGAAAATACTCAATGTAGGAGTGGGCATTGTGGCCCAGCAGGTTAAGCCACCACTTAGGACTTTCTTGTACTACCTCCGCTTCTGACCCAGCTTCCTGCTAATGCATGCCCTGAAAGTCAGCAGACATGGCTCAAATAACTGGAGTCTCTGCAACTCATGTGGGAGACATGGATGGAGTTCCTGGCTCCTGATACCAGCTTGACTTTTACAGGGATTTGGGAAGTGAACTAATCTCTCTTTCTCTTTCTCTCACCCCACCCCACACCTTCATAAAAAAAAAATACTTGTTGTAGATACATCTCCCCTTCCCATGGAACTGATAACTTCTTAATATGTTAATGATTTGGTTATTTAATCAATAAATATGTATTAAACATAATATTAGTATGGTTTCCTTGTGCTATAGAATTTAGATAATTCACCCCAAATTACTGTTAAATTTTGACATTTAAAAATATTTTTCAGTTATACATACAGGAAAGTATATAAGCTTGATGAATTTTTTCGGATACATATGCATGTATGTAACTCCCACCCTGAGCTAGGTACAAGATACAGGGTATTATCTAAACCCCTCATAAGACCCCCTTATGAAAATGTCAAGTCTGTATCTACTTTCCAACAATATATTTGCCTATTTTGTAAACTCATATAAATGGAGCCACATAGAATGTAAATTTTTGTATCTAGCTTCTTGCACCCATCATCTTGTTTGTGTTACATGTTGTTGCATGTCAGAGTAGTTTGCCCTGTTTTATTGCTCTGCAAATTTATTTCTTCTGTGACTGTGTAGCAGTTTATCCGTTCTACTGTTAGTAGCCATTTGTTTCTGATTTTTTAGTATTATGAATAAAACCTTCATGAACGTTTCCATGCATGCCTTTTCTGGATTTATATGTTCCCTTTTCTTTGGTATTCCCCTAAACTTAATATTTAAAAGTTACTTTTGTTATCTATTTTCATCGATAATTCCAACAAAATTATCATCTACCGTAATCTGTTTTAGACTCTAGTAAAATAAAATGAAATTTTCAAATAATATGTGTGTGTGTGAAAGGCTTTAAATACACTATTAGCAAAAAATTAACATCCCCATTTTTATTGTATTATTTCAACATTTGGAGCTTCTTCGGGGGTTTTCAGCAGTAGTTTGCTACCTAAGGAGGTTAACACATGACATAGCTGCACTTTGAACCATGTAAGCTGGTGTAGGGTTTCAGCCATGGAAATCTTCTGAGCTGATATTAGAATCCAGGAGAGCGGTATTTTTTTAATAGCCATTTCAGTAACATTTATTTGGAAGCATGTTGCTGCTGTAGTTTGTTAATTTTTTTTTCTCTTTTTTTCTACAGTCCTCTTTTATCCAAGCATAAGGTAAGAGATTATTTCTTATGAAAATATTTGTAGAAAAACATTAGTGTCATATGTTGTTGTATGGGCTGTTAATAAAATAAAGAAACCTTTCTTATTTTTAGCTTTCTAAATTAATGCAACCATTTACAAAAAAGATTGGTTTTTTTTTTTTTTTTTCATGTTTTAGATAGCAGCTGTAGAAAAATCCCTGGGAAAAAAATGTTTTCCACAGTTCAGAGCCCCCGAAGATCCAAAGGAAAGAGGAGCTACAGCCAAAGAGTTGGGTATGTTTTTAGATTAAGTTGGAGAGGGCCATTAAAAAGACCTGCCCCTGTGATCTTTTAGAAATATCACTCTCAACTGCTGGGAAGGGATTTTTTTTTTAAATTCACATTTATATACATAACTCTCTTCTAGAAAAACAGCAAAGCAAGATTTTTTATGTTGTATACATACCTAGTAGTAGGTACTATAAAATACCTAAATTATTATAAAAGCGTAAAATTATTTCAAAATTTTCAGTAGGCAGTTCTTTGTATCTAACAACATGAAAAGTTTGTACAGAAATGCTCTGGAATATAATCGGTTTTGGTATATTTAGACATCCTTTTCTCTGGACTTTATAAGAAATTTGTTGTAAAATCTAGATATTTAAAAGCTCTAATCTTGTTAATTTATCTGTGCCTGTTTGTTCTGTCTCATTAGTTGTTGACTAATATATAATGTACTTTAATTGGTGTATATACATTTCTACCACCTTATCTTAAAAGATTTTTAGAGGGGCAGGCGTTGTGGCACAGAAAATGAAACCACTTACAGCACCCACATCCCATGCCCCAGTGCCAGTTAGAGTCCTGGCTATTCCACTTCCAGTCTAGCTTCCTACTAATGCATTGTGGGAGGTAGCAGATAATGGCTCAAGTGCTTGGACCCCTGCCACCCATATGGAAGACCCAGATTCAGTTCCTGGCTCATGATTTCTGCCTGGCCCAGCTGTAGCTGTTGTGTGGACATTTCTCATCCCCTTCCCCTCCACACCTTTCCTTGCCTCCCTGGCAGCCACTCTGCCCTTTCAGGTAAATGATTAGATGTTGGGGGGCACTATGGCATAGCAGATTGTCGCTCCCCCTCTTCGTGGAGGAACGACACTAAACCCTGCCTAGGCTTTATATCCGAGTCACGGCACCATTATGTCGCTCCCCGTCTTCGTGGAGGAACGACACAGGACCCTGCGCTGTTCTTTCGTCTGCTCGGCCATCCCTGGGTTTGCTGCTGGTTCTTCCCGGGTTGGCTACTGTCCCTTCCACCTCCGTGGAAGGGCGGTTCCCCCTAGCCACTTTTCCCCACTTCCGCAGGGGAGCAGCACACCGCCGGCCGGCTCTCTCGGGGGCTGCACAGGTGTTCCTCTTAGATGTTCCCCTTAGATGTTCCTGGTGCATGTTGTCTCTCTCCTCCTTTATAGTCCTCTTCCACCAATCCCAACTCTGCTACCCACATGCCGAGTACGCTGCTCTCCTCCAATCAGGAGCAGGTCCTGCTGTTTATTGGTTGAACTGGAGGCAGCTGTGTAGAAGCTGCTTCTCCCTTCTCAGCGCCATATTGTGGGAGAGCAGATGCATAGAGTAAGTCTTAATTCCAGTAACAGTCTAGTCCGAGTTGCTCCCAGTTGCTCCCCACAGCAGATAAAGCTGCCGCCTACAGTGCCAGCCTCCCATATGGGCGCCGGTTTGAGTCCCTGCTGCTCCTCTTCCAATCCAGCTATGGCCTGGGAAAGCAGTGGAAGATGGCCCAAGTCCTTGGGCCCCTGCACCCACGTGGGAGACCCAGAAGAAGCTCCTGGCTTCCGATCAGCCCAGCTCTGGCCATTGCAGCCATTTGGGGAGTGAACCAGTGGGTGGAGGACCTCTTCCCTCCCTCCCTCCCTTCCTTCTTCTCTCTCTTTCTCTCGCTTTGCCTTGCAAATGAATAAATAAATCTTTTAAAAAAATTTTTTTAAAAATGCATAAATGTTAAAACAAACAAGGGCCAGCACTGTGGTGTAGAGTGTTAAGCCTCCACCTTTGGTGCCTACATCCAGTATGAGCCCCAATGTCCCAGTTGCAGCACTTCCAATCCAGCTCCTTGCTAATGTGCCTGGGAAAGCAGTGGAGGATGGTTCAGGTACTTGGGCCCCTGCACCCAGGTGGGATACCCAGAAGAAGTTCCTGGCTTCTGGCTTCAGCTTGGCCCAGCACTGGCTATTGTAGCTATCTGGGGGAATGAACCAGAGGATGGAAAAATCTCTGTCTCTCCCTCTCTCTCTGTAACTCTGTCTTTCAAATAAATAAATAAATAAATAAATCTTAAAATGAAATAAGATAAAAAGTTTTCAGAAATTTTCTCTAAATGTATAATCTTCATTATAAGAACTTCAGAGAAAGCCGGCGCCGTGGCTCAATAGGCTAATCCTCCACCTTGCGGCGCCGGCACACCGGGTTCTAGTCCCGGTTGGGGCGCCGGATTCTGTCCCGGTTGCCCCTCTTCCAGGCCAGCTCTCTGCTATGGCCCGGGAGTGCAGTGGAGGATGGCCCAGGTGCTTGGGCCCTGCACCCCATGGGAGACCAGGAAAAAGCACCTGGCTCCTGGCTCCTGCCAGGATCAGCGCGGTGCGCCGGCTGCAGCGGCGGCCATTGGAGGGTGAACCAGCGGCAAAGGAAGACCTTTCTCTCTCTGTCTCTCTCTCACTGTCCACTCTGCCTGTCCAAAAAAAAAAAAAAAAAAAAACTTCAGAGAAAAAAGAGAAATAATATTTTCAGGTTTTTTTTCATGATGACTGATTGCATTGCTGATTCGTATTCCTGGGCCTGAGAGTCCTGATAATAAAGAGGAAGTACCAGGTGTTTTAGATGAGTTGCCCTGAAGATATAAGATGATGATAATGCCATCATTTTATGCCTTTTATTCTTTACCAAGTGCTTTTTGATTTTGTTTGTAAAGATGTAAAGAGAGAGAAAGATCTTCCATCTGCTGATTCAATCCCCAAATGGCCACAAAGGCTAGAGCAGGGCTTATCCAAAGCCAGGAGCCAGGAGCTTCTGGGTTTCCCATTGGGTGCAGGGACCAAGGACGTGGCCCTCATCTACTGCTTTTCCAGGCCTTAGCCGAGAGCAGGATTGGAAATGGAGCAGCTGTGACTTGAACAGGTGCCATATGGGATGCTGGCACTTCTGGCAGTGGGTTTACCCACTAAGCCACAGTGCCAGCCCCTTTTTTTTGTTTTTAAAAATCTTCATTTTTTTTCTTATGGGGCAAGATGAGGACATTGCCTTTCTGGGTGTTTGTTTGTTTGTTTGTTTTAATACAAATCAGAGTAAAATAAGCCTCCTAACCATCTTAAAGGGAGAAGACAAACTGGATGTTGATGTGATTCCATGTTGTGCACATTGGGAAAAGAGCTATTACCAGCCTTTTCTTTGAATTTCAAATGTAGCGTTGCTTGGTGCCCAGCACAAGCTTGGCATTACCCCTGCCTTGGCCTCTGCTGTAATTCACATGGTGTGTGCACATGGAGAAACTGAAGTGCCAGGTTTAAATCACTTTCTTGGTGCTTTACTTCATTCCAGAACCTGAATCTTCTGGTTCTAATTAAGTGCGGCACACTCCTGCTATGGAGGTTGTACAGACTAGCAGCGACTTCAGCAATCCAGACATTCGCTGATCATCATCTTTTGAGGGTGTGGACTAAATTCTGAAGGAAGAAGTTTTGCCAGAGTTCAATAAAACAATATGTTTTAAAGAGAGAAGTCGAGAGTGTGGATGATTCTGTAGTAGTCAGCTTTCATCTCCATCACAGATACTGAGGGAAGGTGCTTAGGAAGGAGGAAGACTCATGGTTTAGGAGAGTGGCAGTCCAAGAATAGGTGGCTCCACTGAGCTGGCATCCTGTGGAGTCGGTGGGTGGTGGGTACAGAGAGAGGGTTACATGGCAAGCCAGGAAGCAGGAAACTATCTGGGATCAACAAGACTCCTATAACCAACCAACTCTTGAGAGCTGTCTTCTATGGACACCCCCCTCAGTGGCTGAAAGACCCTCACTGGGCCCCCTCCTGATAGCATAATCGGATCAAGTTGCCACACATAATCCATTAACAATTAGCATTAATTCATTAACCATTAATGTCAGACTTTGGAGACCAAACTTTGGATACATGGGCATTTGGGGGATACCAGAAGTAATATTCCAGCCATAGCACTTTCCACATGTAGTTTGGAACCCTCTTGCCCTTTGCATCTTAAGTTATAGCTTCTTGGTTTGATTGATTATTTCATAATATTTTTTGTATTTGTTTTTTGTTTTGTTTTTGAAAGATTTATTTATTTATTTGAAAGGCAGAGTTAGAGGCAAAGAGAGAGGTCTTCCATCTACTAGTTCACTTCCCAGTTGTCCTCAACGAATGGAACTGCACTGATCCAAAGCCAGGAGCCAGGAGTTTCTTCCAGGTCTCCCACACAGGTACAGGGGTCCAAAGAATTGGGCCATCTTCCACTGCCTTCCCACGCCTTATTATGGAGCTGGATTGGAAGTGGAGCAGCCAGGACTCGAACCAGTGCCCCTATGGGATGCTGGCACTGCAGGCAGTGTCTTTACCCACTTCACCACAGCACCGGCCCCTGTTGATTATTTTTAAAGGTTTTTTAAAATTTGTTTTAAAGGCAGAATTAAAAAAGAGAGGGAAAGACAGAAATCTTCTGTCTGCTGGTTCATTTCCCAAATGGTAGCAATGACTGAGCTGGGCCAGGCTGAAGCCAGGAACCAGGAACTTCATCTGGGTCTCCCGCATGGATGGCAGGGGCCCAAGCACTCAGGCCACCTTTTGTTGCTTTCCCAGGCACATTAGTAGGCAGCTGGATCAGAAGTGGAGCAGTTGGGGGCTGGCTCTGTGCTGCAGCGGGTTGGACCATGGCTTGCAATGCTGGCATCCCATGTGGGTGCTGATTTGTGTACTAGCTGCTCCATTTTTCATCCAGCTCTCTGCCTGGGAAAGCAGCAGAAGATGGCCCAAGTCCCTAGACCCCTGCACCCAGGTGGGAGACCTGGAAAAAGCTTCTGGCTTCAGTCTGGCCTACCTATAGTCATTGCAGCCATTTGGGGAGTTAACCAAGAGATGGAAGATGTCTCTCTGTCTCTTCTCTCTCTCTCTGTAAGTCTGTCTTTCAAACAAAGAAATAAATATTTTTTTTTTAATTAGAGCAATCAGTACTTGAACTGGCACTCACGACCTGCTGTGCCTCAGTGCTATACCCTGTATTTTTAAATAATAGGATAAAGCAACTATTTTTGTATCTGTGGGTAATCTTTGTAAATAATACATCATACCTGTAGATATCTTTATTACTGAACTCATAAGTGATATCTCAGTTCATTAGATATTATACTATTAAATGGCTGTATTTTGTCTAGAAGTTTTAGCTAGCCACCTCACTTCTTACTCATATAATGACATCTCAGGCTGATTTTTAACACCCAAATCTCGTTTTATGCAAAGCTCCTCTTCTTCTCTGCCCCCTAGCTGCCAAGAACTGGGAGCATACTCTGCTGACATTTGGAGCAAACTGGATTACTGTTTATGATGGAATCCAGATTGTTCCGCAGGGGATGTGTGCTGGCTCCCTCAGTGCCAGCTGAGAAGGAGCTTACTCCCAAGATGTTGCATTCCTTTAGATAACCTATCCTAAGCTGGTAATAGTATATTTGAGACCATGGTCCCCAATCTCAGTTAGTCTCTGATTCCTATGAATGTGAATCTGCTAAACTTTTGGGTACTCAGAACTTGTAGAGGGATAATTTGGACCCTTTACAAACTTTGTCCTTTTCTCTAACCTTTCCTGCCTTAATAATACAGGCCAGAAAGGTTAGTAGCAAAGCAGACATCCTATGGGGAATAAAATGCCTCTGTGTTTTAGTATAGTCTCCCAAACTCCAGGTGTTTCTTCAGGATAAAGAGAGAAAAAGGATACTATACTCTCCCAAAAGGTGGTGGCTTCTTCCTTCTCCTGATCCTTATCTATTTTTGAGTCAATTTCAGAGGAGGTTCTACAAATTCTACTGGAAGTCTGCATCTCAACAGTCTAAAGTCCTTGATTCTCTGAAATCTGAAGAAAGCCTGTTTTTTTTTTTTTTTAATGTATTTTATTTATTTGAAAGTTAAAGAGACAGAGAGAGAAAGAGGGAGAGAGAGAAAGAGGGAGAGAAAGCACTTTCTTCCACTGGTTCCCTCCCCAAATGACTCCAAAGGCCAGGCCTTCACCCAGTCTCTCAAATGAGGCCATCTTCTACTGCTTTCACAGGCATGTTAGCAGGGAGTTGGATCAGAAGTGGAGCAGCAGAGACTTGAGCCAGTGTCTATATGGGATGCCAGCATTGCAGGTGGCAGCTTAACCCACTGTACCACAACATGGTCCCTTTTAATTTGTTTTTAAGATTTATTTATTTATTTGAGAAACAGAGTTATATATAGAGACTGAGAGAGAGAGCTCTTTTTTTTTTTTTTGAAGATTTATTTATTTGAAAGAGTTACAAGGAGAGAGAGGCAAAGCAGAAACAGAGAGAGAAAAAGAGAGAGAGAAAGAGAGCTCTTCCAACCGATAGTTTACTCCCCAGTTGGCTGCAATGGCCAGAGCTGCGCCGATCTGAAGCCAGGAGCCAGGAGCTTCTTCTGGGTCTCCCACATGGGTGCAGGGGCCCAAGGACTTGGGCCATCTTCTGCTTTCCCAGGCCACAGCAGAGAGCTGGATTGGAAGTGGAGCAGCCAGGTCTTGAACCAGCACCCTATGGGATGCCGGCACCTCAGGCCAGGGTGTTAACCCGCTGCGCCACAGTGCGGGCCCTAAGAGAGATCTTTCATCTGCTGGTTTATTCCCCAAATGGCCACAACAGCTAGGGCTGGGCCAGGCTGCAGCTAGGAGCTTCTTCCAGGTCTCCTGTGGGATGGCAGGTGCCCAAGAACTTAAGCCATTCTCCACTGCTTTCCCAAGTATGTTACCAGGGAACTGGATCAGAAGTGAGCAGCCAAGGATACATACCAGCACCTACATGGGATGCTGGCGTTGCGAATGGCACTTATCCTACTATGCCACAACACTGGCCCGGAGAGCCTTTTTTTTTTTTTTTTTTAAGTGAAATTTTTATTTATTTGAAAATCAGAGAGAGAGAGAGAGAGAGAGAATTTCCTATCTACTGGTTCGCTCCCCCAAATGCCCATAATAGCCAGGGCTGGGTCAGGCCAAAACCAAAATGAAGCTAGGAGCCAGGAACTCAATTTAGGTTTCCCACATGGGTGGCAGAACCACCTACTTGGGCCATCACCTGCTGCCTATCAGGGTACACATTAGCGAGAAGCTGTAAATAGGAGCTAGGGACAGGACTTGAACCTAGGCTCTCCTATATGAAAGGCAGCTATCCCAAGCAGTATCTTAAGCACTATGTCAAATACTTGACCTTGAAGACAGCTTTTTTTTTTTTTTTTAAGATTTATTTATTGGGGCTGGCACTGTGGTACAGCGGGTTAAAGCCCTGGCCTGAAGCGCCGGCATCCCATATGGGCGCTGGTTCTAGTCCCCACTGCTCCTCTCCCGATCCAGCTCTCTGCCATGGCCTGGGAAAGTAGTAGAAGATGGCTCAAGTCCTTGGGCCACTGTACCCATGTGGGAGACCCAGAGGAAGCTCCTGGCTCCTGGCTTTGGATCTGCACAGCCCCAGCCATTGTGGCCAATTGGAGAGTGAACCATTGGATGGAGGACCTCTCTCTGCCTCTGCCTCTCTGTAACTCTGCTTTTCAAATAAATAAATCTTTTTTTAAAAAATTTATTTTATTTATTTGAAAGACAGAGTTACAGAGAGAGGTAGTAACAGAGAGAGAGGTCTTCCATCCGCTGGTTCACTCCCCAGATGGCCTCAACAGCCAGAACTGTGCAGATCCAAAGGCAGGAGCCAGGAGCTTCTTCTGGGTCTCCCACATGGGTGCAGGGGCCCAAGGACTTGGACCATCCTCCACTGCCTTCCTGGATTGGAAATGGAGCAGCTGAGACTTGAACCAGTGCCCATATGGGATGCCAGCATTGCAGGTGGTGGCTTCACCTCTAAGTCACAGACTGGCCCTGAAGACAGCTTTTAAGTAATACCTTTTCTTTGGTATGAAATGGGCCTTAATTGTCAGTAGGTAATTATTAAAGTACTAGTAAATGAACAACCAAATGGAACATTTTAATATTTTATCTTCACCTTTGTTCATAATCTGTATAAATTGAACAGTATATGACTATACAAAAAGTTAAAGCTTCTAAGATCATTAGAATACTAAAGCACTGATAAACTGAAGGTGAGAAAGCTTCTCTGTTATCTACCTATCTGTGTAATTCTCATTCATTATTCATACAAAGGTTTTTAGCAGTTTAGTTTTAAAGTTAAAGAATTAAGTTGATTTTCTTTAAGGAAGAAACTGAAAGAGATGTCAAAATTCAAACCTGCTTCTACCTCTTGCCAAAATATATATCTCTACCCTTTGCTGCCTTTTTTTAAGAAGATACAGATATTTATAAGCACAGTTATTACGGATTCAAATCATAAATATAAACAGAATAGACTCTCTTTCCTTTAGTCTTAGTAGATCAGATCAGTATTACTTATATTTTAAGTTATAAATTTATTACTAAGGATTATCATGTAAAATGTTTTCTTAATATGCCATGTCTTAAGTACATTGAAAATAATTTTCTAACTTCATTGAAATGTAAAAGGCCAATAGACATATTCATTTAAACATAATAGACTAAAAATATTCTTAAATTGTTAAATTGCTGAAAAATACTGTATCAGTTAAAGACTAATTTGTTTTATTTATGTTAACATGTTTTTGAGTAAACAATTTTATGTGTAAAGGAGTATTTACCAAATATTTTGGGTATTTCCTCTACTTAAGGTCAGTTTTGTGCCACAGATGGAATTACCTTTTGAGAGGGTTAGAATATCATTATGCTACTCATATCATTCACATGTCCTTTGTTTTCCCTGTGATACAAAGTATTGTGCTGAATTTTAAAGCAACTTGTTTTTCTTCACCTTTAGAGAGTGAACCGAGTACCAACCGAGAAAGCCAACAGCAAGAAGATCCCCGGAAGAGCAGTCCCTGCTGTGATCCCATGGACGAGCAGGCAGTCGCTGCAGCAAAGGGCCACACGGAGGAGCCGCTCCTCAGCACGGAGGCCACGCTGGAGCTCCACGCCCAGTCCTCGGAGACAGCCAGAAGCAGGTCTGGGCCAGGCTCCGCCGAGAATGCTTGTGCGGATGATAGCTGCTTGCAGCTGGCTCAGCCAGAGGACTGCCCAGATGTGGCCACAACAGGGGGCGTTGCTGAAGACCCTGAGGCTGTACCTCCCAGCCAGGAAGCCACAGAGCCTGCGCTGATTTCAGAGGACAGATATTCACAGACTCGGAGAAAAGAACTCCATTTACCACTTCGGGATGCTTCTGAGGCGTTGCCCACAGGCCAACTTGAGAACAATGAATTAAATGAGCGACAGCAACCTGATCCCTCAGACAGTGATGGGAAGTGGCTGCGTGGTCAGACTGACTCAGAGGGCTCTGGGAATGCACTTTGTGAAAAGAATGGAATATCTGACCTAAGTGCACGGCTGCCTGAGGTGTTTATGGCCCCAGAGGAAAAGGGAGATGAGGAAGACCAAGTCAATAAAGAAACCGAAGACTATTTGAACAGCCTTCTGGAAGGGTGCTTAAAAGACTCTGAAGAAGATTCCCTTTCATATGAAGACAACCCAGACCTTTCTCCTGAGGAAGGGTCCTACAGCCTCCAGGAGAATCTGCCTTCCGATGACAGCTGTCTTTCTCTGGATGATCTTGCCAAAAGGATACAAATTGCAGAGGTAAATTAAAGACGAAGCATAATTAAACGTAAAATGAAATATTGCTTTATTTTTATAAGATGTCCCTAGTCTCAAATATGAGTGAGAATTTTAGTTAACATGACCTGTAATCTTTATATTTTCATTTATTTATATGTATTGAAATAAGTGACTCTTAATTGTTATGTTTATACTTGTTATGATGTTGCATGCCTACAGATACAATAAGCTGTATTATGAATAACCATTTTTAATAATCCTATGACTTTTACTTAGCATTACCAGAAATTATGATCAAGAGTAGTCACATTCTAATAAGGAAATCTCATTTTTCTTCTCATACATCTAGGAGACGAAATACCTAATATGTGCCCCCTGTTTCTTCCTCTGGTTGATGTATCTTTGAAATTCTCTAACAGAATAAACATCTTAAATAGAGTGAGATGAGGGAACACTAGATCCATCTTTAAGATATTAAGTTGCAAAACCCGAAACAAGGTCCCAGAAAGATGGCCATTCTCCTTTGTTTGATAATATCGTAAAATAATTCGGCAAAAGAAAACATAAAAACCAAATCAAAACTGCAGCCCCCTCACCAAGGTGGCCTGACATAGTGGGAAATACAGGAACAGTGAAAGACTTCAGTTCCAGTCCTTACCCTATCATTTGGTTATCAGCCCTGTGCAGCTACTTTTTACCTCCCTAAAGCTGTTTTCTTTGAAAATGTTTCTTTACCTAAATTAGTTTTTCAGGTTAGCTTTTAAGTCCCACTTGTACCCATCATATTCTAACCCAGCATTATCATTGAACGAAATAATTTAAGAGACAAAATGGAAGAATAGCAGAGCAAAAGTATACAACAAAATAAATCTGAAAATAGAACCCAGTGAAAAGTTGCTGAAATAATTATAACTGTCATATCACTAGCTCCCTTCATTGCCATTTATAGTCAGTTCTCCATAGACTATTATTAATTCTCGTTTATTTTCTACCAGACCACCTGTTTGCCATGCACAGCTAATTCTCCACAAACTGTGATTTTGCTTCTTAATAAAATTTAATATTGCTTAAAGACTATAGAGTTTCTATTGAGGTGATGAAAACGTTTGGAAATACTTGTAGATAGTGATGATTGTTGCACAACATGTGTAATGTTAATGCTACAAAACTGTACTCTTAAAAAATGGTTAAAGTGGCAATTTTATGCTGCATATTTTGTAGCAAATTAAACTAGTTTAAAAATTAGAGCTAACAGTAAAGCACTTGGCCCGGAAGTATTCATTCTGTTACTTATTTTAACCAGATGTCTACTACAGTGAGTTGCAAACTGTTGAATTAATGTGTGCTACAACTAAATGGAATATTCCTTCCTTAACCTCAATGTCGGTTTTCCTACCAGATAACAGTTACCAGTGGTTATATGTTATTTGAAGTTGCCTTTCTGTGAAATTAATATGTATTGTCCCTTTCCCTGAAATTTTATTGGTCTACTAAATTAGGCTGGCTTAAAACCCCAAAAGCTACATATGATTAGCAAAACTTGTTTACCTCCCTATGAAGATGCTAAATGCTTTTACTTTCTGAATATTTACTTTCTTCTCTATTCTGAGACATATTTTAATAAAGTGCCTAACTCTGTCAGGAAAAGTTTTGAAAGCTTCAGAACTAAAAATAAGCTTGTTTATAAGTACAAATTCATACTTTTTAAAAATAGGTTATAAATGTTATTTTCTGATTTCAGTGTAAACATGTAACTTCTTAATCCGCTTTGTACTGTGTGCTTTCTGTGAAACCGTAAGAATCTCCCCTGAGTGGGGCGCTGAGGGCGCTCTGAGGATCATAGGAAGTTGTGGCCCTGTTGGAGGCTCTCGGCTGTCACACCAGGCTGTTTTCACTGGAACTGTTTTTGAAACATTTTTCATGCTTCCTGCTTCCCTCCTTCTGTAGGCAGGGACCATAGCACATAATTTCTTAATAACTAAATAATGTCTAAGAGTAGCATTTTGCATTTCCTCTGGAACCACTGAGGCTGTAAGCCTGCCAGGCTGCCGGTTGTTCTGCCCTCACAGCTGCCTGTCCTCCCATCCGTGACAGCCCCTCCCTGTCCCTGCTGTTACAGCTCTTTCCACCACTGTGAGTAGTACACCTGAGGATGTGCTTTCCTTGCCAGCATTCTCCCTTTTTTCTTGTCTCTCTGCTTGTATTCTCCTGCTCTTTCTGCATTGCTCAGCTTTGGCTGCAGTGGATCTTGGTTTTGAGAACCACTGCCAGTCCATTCAAGCACTTGTTGTGTTGTGCTGTGTTAAACAATTGGATTTGTTACATAAATTGAAATAATTTTCACAAAAATCTCATAGAGCACTAAAAATACCTGTGCTGTTTTTAATATAGAGACGTGTATAAATGAAGATTCTCTTAGTCTGGGAAGTTTTTTCAAACTCAGGAATAATTTTTGCAAAATGATAGCTTAATACCTGAAGCACTGCTGTTCTTATGTAAAAAAGATCCTAACACATTATCATCAGAAGTACAGACTCTGCTCTTTCAAAAAAGCGTCAGAAACATTTTTCCTCATTTCATCAGCTTTTAAGAAAAAGTAGTCAGTGGCACAGTATCAGACAGCAGGTTAGGAAGATTCACTCGTTTATTTCCTCATTTGCTGGTTTCTGTGTGAGTGCCATGTTACAGAACCAATGATTAAGAATGCAGGCGCTGGTGCTCTGTGGACACGGCCTGAAATCTCACAGCTGCCTGACTGCATGCGTTGGCCTTTCCCTGAATTTGAGTATCCCAGTTTCTGACAAAATACGAAATTGTACAGCAGTACAGTGCCCATATACCCATGCTATACTGACATGATTATTGTCAGAACCGAGAACCTGGGTTCTTTTGATTTGTTTGGTTTTGGAATCTGTAGGAGTCACATTTTCTTCTCTTTAAACTATTTTTTTTTTTTGACAGACAGAGTTAGACAGTGAGAGAAAGAAATACAGAAAGGTCTTCCTTTTTTTTCCGTTGGTTCACCCCGCAAATGGCCGCTACAGCCAGCACCCTGTGGCCAGCGCGCTGCGCCAATTCGAAGCCAGGAACCAGGTGCTTCCTCCTGGTCTCCCATGTGGGTGCAAGGCCCAAGCACTTGGGCCATCCTCCACTGCACTCCCGGGGCCACAGCAGAGAGCCAGCAGAGAACTAGACTGAAAGAGGAGCAACCAAGACAGAATCCGGCGCCCCAATCTGGACTAGAACCCGGGGTGGTGGCGCTGCAGGCGAAGGATTAGCCAAGTGAGCCATGGTGCCGGCCTCTTTAAACTCAAGTGTTTCATCCTGTAGCCTAGGACTTAGAGGGAATGCCTAGCATCCAAACTTGAGAGAAGAAATGTGCTATTCTAAATGACCCAATGACCCAGTCCCATGCTGCTAGATAGTAGACTGTTCACATGTGGGGGTGAGTGGATTGTTTCATTTTCCAAGTAGCACTCAAATTGAATATTGGGAATGTTTTGCAAAGATTAATCTGTCTTTTTAAACAAACAAACCTATATATTTAATTATTTGAGAGGCAGAGAGGGACAGACATATAGAGAACAAGAAAGAGCTCCCATCACTGCCTTTAGAAAATCTCTCTCTGCCCCACCCTGCCTCTGCCTTTCAGAAAAAAATGAAACTAAATAAATAATAACTTTAAAAAGAAAAGAAAACTGAGGAGTCAGCATTGAATCTAGACCAAGTCCCTGCTCTTATGAAGCTTACTTTCTTTTTGTTATTTTATTTATTTATTTATTTTTAAATTTTATTTATTTGAAAGGCAGGGTTTCAGAGAGGGAGAGACAGAATCTTCCATCTGCTGGTTCACTGCCCAAATATCCACAATGGCCAGAGCTGGACCAGTCTGAAGCCAGGAGCCAGGAGCTTCTTCTACGTCTCCCACGTGGGTCCAGGGGCCCAGGCAGCCCCCCACTGCTTTCCCTAGCACGTTGGGGAGCTGAATCAGAAGTGGATCAGAAGTGGAGACTACAGCTGAATCCCATATGTGATACCAGTGTTGCAGGCAGTGGCTTTACCCACTACACAACATGCTGGCCCCATGAAGCTTACTTTCTAGAGGGACAGACACATAATAGTGAGGTCACATAAAAATGACTGATATCATGTAAATTATTGCTACAGGCCATGAAGTAATTCCAGCAGGATGAGAAAATCTAAAGTAACTGAAATGACAGCTCTTTAAACAATTTATTGGGGGCTGTTTAGTACTTATTAATCATCCCTTTAAGCTAGCAAAACAGATTACATTATAAAACTTCTATTTTTTTTTTAAACAGGTAGAGTTAGACAGAGAGAGAGAGAGAGAGAGAGAGAAAGGTCTTCCTTCCATTGGTTCACCCCCCAAATGGCTGCTATGGCCAGCGCGCTGCGCCCATCCGAAGCCAGGAGCCAGGTGCTTCCTCCTGGTCTCCCATGTGGGTGCAGGGCCCAAGCACTTGGGCCATCCTCCACTGCCTTCCCGGGCCACAGCAGAGAGCTAGACTGAAAGAGGAGCAACCAGGACAGAACCGGTGCCCCAACTGGGACTAGAATCCAGGGTGCCGGCGCCACAGGTGGAGGATTAGCCAAGTGAGTCGCGGCACCGGCCTCTATTTTATGTTTTTTAAAACCTTTTTTTGTGACAGGCATTGTCACATAGCAGGTGAAGCTACTGTTTGCAGTGCCCACTTCCCATATCAGAGTGCCTGGGGTCAGGTCCCAGCTCACTTCTGGTCAAGCTTCCTGCTAATGCATACCAGTAGGCAGCAGGTGATAACAGGTTGTTGCAGGCATTTGAAGAATAAACCATCAAGTGGAAGATTCTCTCTCTCTCTCTCTCTCTCTCTCTCTCTCTCTGCCACTTACTCTGCCTTTCAAATAAACTTTTAAAAAAAGTTTTCCTTTTAAATTAGTATTTTAAAAATTCAGCATCAATGTACCTCATCATAATTTGCTTTTTCCTATTTTGCACTCTCCACCTTGCAGTGTTCTAAGAT